ATAAAAAAAAGTGTACTACACAACTGCGTATACGAAGACTAGTGACAATTTGTAATTGTATGTGTTAAATTAATTGTATTCAAACTTGTATTTTTTACTGTTAATTCGAATAATATATTATAATACATTTTAATTGTAAACATGTATACATTATACATATTATTTAATAAATATATTAATTAACCAATCATTAAATTGATCAAAGATTTGTTCTTTTTCCCTGGTCTATTCGCACGAGTGAAAACACAGCGAGAAATTAGATGGGAAATAGATAATGTTTAAGATTTAACAATTACAAATTGTCACTAGTCTTAATTTTTTTTTTGACAGCCATTCAAAAAGCCCGCGCAATTCGACCGCAACACATAAGCAGATGGCGCGTCGCGTCATTCCTTATCACAACATCAGTGGCATATATTAACATAGATATTATAAAACCTGCCGTCACGTCTTTTCTGTAGTGTTCTCATGTTCTCATTTATCTGGCCGTCGCCCGTCGGCGTACATTGACTTTTGTCGTTTAAGTAATTTTTTTTGCGTTGTTTATGTGTGAAGAGATTTTTTTCGGTTTCACGATTTACCGTTTGTTTTAATTGAATAATGTGTAGTGTAGTCACAACATTGCCGTTGTAAAATACTTAAGGTAAACACTTTGTTGTCTACCTCGATAATAATTTGTTCGTTTGTTATGACGTCAATGGCGGCAACGAATTTAGACAAATCGTGTTTTAAGATGATTCGTCATTGTACACAATTATTGTTGTACAGCTAACGATGTTTTGTCAAGCATCGAATAACGGACAGTCTTGGTCTTGTTTTAATTTTCCTTATAATACCTACACTATAAACGTATTACTTGTAAACTCGACCAAAAAAAAAAAAATTCTATTTCTGGTAATTCGAGTTGTCGCTATTATAAATGCTACCGTTTGATGAAGTCTGTGATTGACTAGTTTGTTATAACACTATAAAAGGTGTTAATTTGTCGGTCGTGTCGGTATTTATTAAACAAGAAAAAACTGTTTAAAACCGACTACTTAACACGATAAAAAAAAATATTGTTGACATCAAATACACGTCTAATCCTACTGTGTACCTATGTAGCTGTAATATTTTTGAGCGAGTAACAAAGTTATTTTGTTCAATATGCAATAACCGAGTACCTACTATGGTCAAGGTGTGTGTGCCAGCCAACTTTGGTACGGCCATTAAATAACATGAATATATTTGTATTAATACACAATTAAAGGTTACACCTAGGTGAAAAATATTTAAGTTGTATGATTTTTATAAATAATAATAACATATTATTTTAATGGCACTTGGTATAATCTTGAGTCTATTTCCTGGCGATTTAGCCGGACTCAAAATATTGCCACCATGAAATACAAAACTAAACGCTTAAATGTCTCATAACCTGGCGTTTATCTTTTTGGTTAGGTTAGAATCAATTGTAGATGTATAATTTGTTTTGTTGATTTGTGGTGATTTTAGACTGGTATCATTTGATTGAAAAAACTATTAACAATGATTTAATCATTCTTTTTATTTTATACTAACATAATCTTTGTTAGTTTGTCTTTGACAATTAGTCCAAAGGTGTATATTATATTTAAACATATAATATTAAATTAAGTTGTAATATTGTTGTATGTAAATTTCAATACTCTAAAAAGAAACAAATAATAATAAATATTAGGTCTGGTATTTTAGATCAGACAAACGTTGTGTGTAAATTATGTAGATAATAATTATCTACCAAGATCTCTTAGCTGTACTGTCACTCAAAATACTTGTTAACGAGCCGTACCAAAAGTTGCTTTATTTGCTTTGTGTCAATACTGATGTGGATCTACACATATATTTAAAACAAATTCAAGATTGATAATGTAAAGAAATACAATTTTTTAAAATATTTATTATGACAAGTAATAGGTACTCATCATGCCCTATTTTAATTTTGATTGTGTAATATGAACCAGGGTAGGCCATTGAGTCTCAGCTTTTTTAAAATATGTACTTAAAATATTTTACAGTGGTTATTTAGAAATGTTACCTGTTACTATTTCTCAAACCCAGTTAGTAAAACACTGGATGGATTGAACGGTAAATACGCCCCAACGACTCACGCAATAATATAGATTGGTCATTTTTATCTGAAAATGTATAATATAGTTGGTATTATTACTGCTATAGTTTTGAGCACCTTTTCAGCAATTCAATAATACATAAAGACTAACCAATTTAATATTACTGATGTTTATAAAGCAGCAATTCTTTATAAACAGTTGTTTTTGCTATATTGTAATTGGTACCTCCAAACTAGTGTCGGCCAAAAAAAAAAATTAAAAATAGTGTATAAATCTAAATGTAAGCTTTTAATTTACCTCAATGTTACATGTACATAATGGTATTATAGAGCTACAAGTTACAATGATGACTATATTCCATTCTATACTTTGACCCAGGGGCGTACCGAGGAGGTTTTTATTTGGGGAGGTCAAAGTTGGTAGTTTAGCCAACTCCACAATTTGATCCAGGACAACCTGTTATTGTTGTTACGCTGAAACCACTTCATCATTAGACTGTTAATAGTTTTTCATTATATAAGTAAACAATAAATACAAGTAATTATTTATAATTGTTAAGAACATTTTTAATTATAAAATATATTTTTCATCATTATCATTATTATTCATCAATATTCTTTTTTTAGAGTAGCCCATTTTTGAGCCATTTCGTTTAGAGACATTTGATCCACCAAATCTTTTTCATAAGAAAGCAACATTAAATTGTTTAACCTAGAGTCTTCTTGGGTTGTTCTTAAATAGTTCTTGAGTAATTTCAACTTGCTGAATGATCTTTTATTGCCAGCACCGGTTACAGATTCCGTCCATGATAAACACACAATAAATAATTTTATGGCAATGCCGTTTTTAATTTATGAGAAACTATCGCCTGGTCACTCTTAGTACTTTGGTTTTTACATTCGTCGTAGTTCACAATGCTAAGTTAATGGATCATTTCAATATTATTTTGTAAAAATGTCATTGCATCATTTTGAATAAGGGTTTTCGTCAAAAGTTCTCTTGCAAATGGTGATTTTTAAAATATTGTATAATGATATAATAACAAATATTACATACATAAATATACATTAAAACAGTATTGGAAGATGGCTGTTGTAGAAAATAGGAAACTACGATTATTTTCTACTAATGTGTCATTCGAATTTCTACATTTAACGTGTCAATCCCAATAATTGTGTAACTCAAATTGATTTGTAAATATTGGAGAATTAAAATTTTTCAGGAAACAAAAAACTGATTTTCTTTTTAATTTTGTTTTCGAAATTTTTTTATAAATAGGATATTTTTTTCATCACAATAGAAAACAGATTCGGGCCCTTTTCGCTCATAAAATTTCGAAAACAAAATTAAAAAGAAAATAGGTTTTTTGAGTTTCCTGAAAAATTTCAATTTTCCGTATATGAGCCCTTTTCGAAATTCCCAATTCAATTGAAAAATCACTCTACTAACTGTAAGTATAATGCAATGTCAAACGATAAACCAGTAAATATACTATCTGAGAAATTCTGTCTAAGAGTATTAGTATAATTTGTATCAGAACCGGACTAGGAGGCCGAAAAGTCATTTGAATCACAATCATCCGTTGATTCATCGTTCGTAACGACCTCCACGATTCGATAAGCGTTTAGCGACGCGACACTAGGGGTGTGTCGGCGTCTCACGAAAGAACGGAATTGGCGCGACGAGGTGACGGTCGGCGTTCCGCGAGAAGATGGCGAAGGACGATGAGGAGAAAAAATAAATAAATGACCAAGTCTTCGGTGAGTGTTCAAAATAATGGGGCAGGGCCCGTTTATGAAGACACCAAAAAAAAATTATATGAACAAAAAAAAACAAAACGTTAGACGTGGTGACGCTCGGGTCGTGCAATTAGCGGTGGCAGCGAGGTGCGTTCGCGTTGACGACGGGGAGCGGAGAGAGAGGCGGTTGGAAAGAATACGGCTTGATGGCGGTTGACCACAGATCGTTTCCCGACATGAACTTTGTACCCTCCGAATGGACTGTGGGGTGCTCAATATCGGGTGTGCACAGTGTGTCGACGGATGACAGACAAGTACAGCGCGGGCCTCAACATGCATAGCATAGTACCGCGTCTTTAGGCTCATTGTGTTATTATAAAGTCAGACGATAAAATACAATCAAATAAAGGAACCGAGTAGACAATAAAGATTATGAAACGAGCAGAATGAATAACGGTATCCGTTTCGTATTTCCCGAAAATGATTATAGACAATAATGTGCAATTGTCATGGTTGCCCCTTACAAAAATATTTCATAGATAACCCCAACTACAAAGAGAATTAAAAGTGTCTGATTGGAAATCAGAGTTCCCTCTGGGGCGTAGGTTCGGATCCTACCGACTGCGCCAATTGTCGTGACCGTAGACAATACTCGGCCAGCGAAACTAGGCGGGTGACCGTCGCGCACCTGGTGGTTAATTTCCCGTAGGGCTTCTAAAACTGCTTTCCCGCGTAAAATAATATAAAAGTAGTTATAAAAACTAAACATTTAAAATTTCTGTATTTAACATTCATTATTTATTTATTATCATAAATTAATAATATGAATATTTTGTTTTTTTCCATAATTATATAATTTGCAAATTATCTTTTATCTTTTTTAAAATGTATTTTAACTATAGATTTCACATAAACATTGAAACATAAAATCCTAATCAAATGTGAAAAAAACTAAAAATATTTTTTCATTTAGCAAAAAAAACTTGAATCTATTATTAAAATATTTACAAAAAAAAATTATTTTTCCCAATCTAATAATTTAGTCCCCATCGTTGTCTTCATCTTCGCTTGAACAGCTTTCATCAGGATTAATGGTTAATATAATTGGTTCTAATATCTCATCCCTTAGTCCTGCCTTAACGAAGTCCTCCTCTTGAATTCTAACGTAATGTTATCCACATTTGGCCCAATCGTCCGGAGCTACTGCATCAATTTCTTTATGCACAAGTGCCTCAACATCCCTAATTGTGAAAAAACAATTTTTTTCGGCCACTCTACCTTTTACTTGTGCCCAAATGAGTTCGATTGGATTATATTGACAGTGGTAAGGGGGAAGCCTTACCACTTCGTGACCCATTTGGAATGTTAGTTCATCCAATTTATATTTTTTTCCGCGTGGCATTGTGAGTTTCACTTTTGCCCGTAACTCATCAAGAGTTTCTATAGGAGAAAATTCTATATTTTTTTCTCGTAACCACTGTTGAACATCTGCTTTTTTACTACCTGATTTCGGGTAGTTCTCGACTAATGAAGAGTGATATGACGCGTTATCCATCACAATAATACTCGGCTCTTCTAAGTGACGTAACATTTGCGAAAACCAATCTTCAAAAATTGTCGCGTTCATTTTTGTATGATAATCCTTATTACTGGAATTGCATCGAAAAATAAGTTTAGATTCTTTGATGAATCCGAAGGAAGGAGATAGATCCAGCGTGGCAAACGATGAGACGATTGCCTTTGTCTGTAGGTACTTAAAAACCTTCCGTATTTTCACAATTTTGCCAAATATGGCTCGTGTATGATTTTGGTTAACCCAGGTTTCATCTAAGTAGACTACCGGCCGAGTATCACCGTTCCTACGGAACTCATTCATTGTTCTAAGAAATTTAACGCGCGCAACCACAATGTCCGACCGTTCCATTAAAAATTTGCGACCGTCGTTGCATTTCTTGTATTTAAAATTTAGTTGTTTTATAATAATTTTCACCAATGATTTCGTCGACCCTAGGTAATTTAATTTTTCATGAAATACCGCTAATATTTTAGCACTCGTAGGAAATTCGCCCTTGTCATAAAAACTATGAACAACTCTTCTGACCACTTCATTGTCAAAATCATCCAATTCAGTGACACATTTTTCGCGACTGTAATTTTTTCTTGGCGATCGGAATTTAAGATCATTAGAACTTCCGATATTTAACGCATTTTCTTGATTTTCAGTAATTTTACTTTCGTTACATATTCGCTGTACATTTCTTAAACTTTCACGCGCTATGTTACGTGTTACGAATATAGAAATTGAAAACAATTATATTAATGATAAAAAAAATAAGGTTAATATATTTTAAATATTATACATCTAAATAACATACTGTTATAAAGTTTATTATGTTAAAAAATAAATTATCGGCATAAATATGAACAAAAAAAAAAAAAACTTAACAACATAAGACAAACTTAACACAAATAACAATAAACTTTATAATAACATAAATTATTATTATAAATTTATAACACAATTATAAATTTAAACAAAAAAAAATGACATATTTAAGTATTCTATGTTTATTATTCTATTATTTAATTTTATGGAAATAGTTCGGTCCCGTCATCCTCTTCGTCACTAATGCTTTCATCAGGCATTATTGTTAAAATAATATGCTCTAAAATAACTTCTCTGTGCCTTTCTTTTTGATAATCGTCTTCTTGTATTTTTCCGGCATGGCAAACACAATTTATCCATTCTTCCTTTGTCACTGAATCTATGGCTTCGTTCATTAATCTCTCTATGTCAACCATCTTAAATGTGGTATTTTTAGAGGCAACTTGACCTTTAACTTGTGCCCATATCAGTTCAATCGGGTTGTACTGGCAATGGTAAGGTGGCAACCGTACAACTAGGTGTCCTATTTCAAGTGCCAATACATCCAGCTCGTACTTCTTTTCGGTTGGTATTAGAATCTTGACTCTTTCACGAAGTTCAGCTACAGTCTCATAAGTGGAAAATTCAACATTTTTTTCTTAACCAATTTTGAATATTGGCTTTTTGGGCGTTGCTTTTGGGAAAGTTGTCCACTAACATCAAATGTTAAGAAGCATTATCCATAACGATGACGCATGATTCTTCAAAAGACTGCAGTATATCTATGAATCATGATCTAAAAACTTATGCTTTCATTTGATGGTGGTAATCTTGTGTACAGCCTGTTTTGCTCCGAAAAATTAATTTTGCTCCTTCTATAAATCCAAAACAACTGCGTGACAAACAATTAGCCGACCTCCCTTACCAGTGGGTACCTTAAAACCTTCAGTGCCTTCTACATTTTGCCATATCTGTTTCCTAGAGTGCCTCTGATTCACCCAAGTCTCGTCTAAGTACATGACTGGGCAGGTATCATTATTTTGACGAAGCGTACACATTGTACGCAAAAACTTACATTTTAAGGTCATAATATCATTTGTTTCCATTAAAAATGTTCTCCACCCTACGTGTCAAATCATACACTACATTCCGACTTAAAATTAAAAACAATAAATGATGAAGCAAAAATCTTTTATAAAAGATTCCATAGCTGCCTAAATAATCATCCAAATCCATTAATAAAAAAATTGGCCACCCCTACAATACCTGGTAATCCTCCGAGACGTCTGAAGCGTAATTGGTGTTGAGATCTCTTAAATTAAATTAATAGCAAGTTAACAGAAAGTGTTATCAATGGGTGGCTTCTTTCAACAAAACTTCATGATTTTTATAACATTTATCACATATTCTTACAGATTATTGATACAGATTGTTTATTACGTGTAAAAATAAAAAATGTTCGCCCGTCGTTACATTTTTTGTATGAAAATTTTAATTTTGTCAACAATCTTTACAATCGAGACTTTCATTATAGTTAAATTTTTGTTTAACGGCATTTAAAATTTTTTCTGATGAAGGATATTTGCCTTTCTCGTAAAATTCATGCACGGTTCTTCGTATGGTTTCATTATCAAAATCGTCCAAATCTGTAGCATAGTCTATATTTTTTTCGTGGTGAAGAAAATGATTGACTTGGCTGTGTTGAATCCGGGACATTGTCGCTGGAAGAGGCTTCATTACACACTTGTCTTACTGTCATAAGAAATACACCACAAGCGTCGGCAGTAATTTGTTGTGTTTGTTTAAAATAGTTTTTTAAGACCTCATCATTCGAATTAGCCAGAACTTATGATAGTATATTATAATGAATATGATGACAATCGCCGATCTGATAGTCGACTCCGGAGTCCGGTAATAAGTAAATGAATAAAAGTTTCAATTAAAATTTTAAATTTATTTGTTGATTAAATACCAGTGTTTTAATATTTCTTTTGTTATTGGCTATTAATTTGCATTTTATCAGTTATAGCTGTAAATTAATTAATAATGATTCACTTATGACTTAAATAACTAAAACTGTTCTTAATTTAAAATCGTTCAATTACTTGTGGCATTTCAAAGTACTAAAATTATACAAACATTTTTAAACCAATTTATTTTCTTGTGTGGAAACCCATCCTGCATGTAACTTTTGATGACTCTTTTGTTAATGAAAGAGACACTTCATAACAAGAGCTCATGTAACAATTTTATTAGTTTTTAATTTAAATATGATTATTTTTTATGTATGGTGTTAGCATAAGCAGAAGTCAAAATATGTAAATATATCCTAATAATTCAGTCAACACAACTGCTAGAAGAAATTTAATAGTTTATGGGGTACAATTTATTCCACTATCTCTTACTTTAACGTCCATTATTCCCGCTGATCGGGGCTTAGACGGTTTAGATTTGGCATTTTTGGGCTTATAGCTAGATGCCGACCTAACGCTACCAAACAAGTTGGTTCCAGAGAAAAGTGCAAGTGGCCATTTTTTCCACCAGACATTTGCCCGCCCGGAGGAACAAACTACCAGTGGCCAAGATTCGAACCAGTGATCGTGCGTTGATACACTGCCGCCTTATCAAACTACGCCACGCGCCTGCATATGATTTACTCAAGTATAATTTTTCTAATCCTCAAATTTTCTTGGATTTTTCTACAGTTTAATCCTTTAACGCGCAGATCTAAAATTAAAATTTAATAAATAAGACAACTGTGGCATCCAAAGTCTGCGCCCTTATCCTACTAAGCTTAGATTCAGTTAGGATAAAATAGAGTGGTCATTAACGCAATAAGTTAAAAAAATTTATTTAAATTGTATAGTCTACCTGCTAGTTTTAAAAACTACCAACGGGTCGAGTTTTTGAGACTTAACATGTTTTAGAAATATATACAAACAAAAAATTCGAAAATTAAAATAAGCATTTTTATTAATTTTTTGAAGCCAATTCGATAATGATTTTCGCATATGTTATGGTATCATCGTTTTTAAAACTTTCATTTACATTTCACATGGTATAAAAAAAAACCGAAAATTGCTAACCTAATAGGAAGGCGCCGATGACGGCGCGGGCGTCTGGGGCAACGGTAATTCTCTAACTTCAAGTAGCTGTAACTTCAAAAGTAAGCGTCTCCGCAAATTTTTGTTTGTACCATCGTTTTTAGCATTAAAAAACAAATCGATTTATAAAAAAAACGAAATTCGCGTCTAGGGTGGTAAAGTCGATTTGGACCCCATGGGCGTACCGAGGAGGTTTTTATTTGGGGAGGTCAAAGTTGGTAGTTTGGCCAACTCAACAATTTGATCCAGGACAACCTGTTATCGTTGTTTCGCTTTATTGTACAAACAGATGCAAAAAAGATATTTAATTAATTTAATAGCCGATAGATAGCACCGTATTTTAAATATACTACAATCTCTTAAAATAATAATAAAAACAAACCCTTAACCATAAAAATTATATACTCTCCGCGAATACGTCGTATTTCAGTCTGTCGTGAGCGCTGAAGATGACATTGTTGCCGAAGTACGACGTATTCGCGGAGAGTATATAATTTTTATGGTTAAGGGTTTTTATTATTTTATTACATATAACCGCAAGTGCTTAAGTTTCTTCTAGCTATAATCTCATTCTTGTTGTCACGCTAAACAAAACAAAACGCAATACAATATCAGATTCTTGCCTTATACGTTCGCACTCCTTACGGCGAAAATAATCAAAATATATATGAACGTCCTTACTCGTCAATAATAAAATCAACAAATTGTTTTGAAAATAAATGGCCATGTTCTGGACAATTTATCACATTAACATTTATTTGTTCCGTCAATATGGTAGTTAACTCGCTTTTTAATGTTTTGTGATGACAATAAATGGCTAATTAAATCAATTGTTGTACTGCAAGTATAAAAATGTTATAACATTTTCCAATCCTGATTTTTTTACTTACAACCTAAAAATTACACTATAGATGCAAGACGTTCAGATAACACTCGCGCTGCACATTTGACTTTCATTTTTTTAATTTTCTGAGGAATTATGTATTCATCTTTCAGCCTGGGTAGCATTTTTACATCTTCAATTTTAAAGTCCAGTTCAATAATGTCACTCCAGCGGGCTAATTGAAATGTTTTTGTTGAGCAAATTGTTGCTTACTCCTTTTAATAAACGTGGAAGGTTATATAAATGTATTATATTCAATATAATAATAATAATAT